CTGTGCGAATTACATGCGATGTACCACACCGCATTAGTGTGAACCTAGCCTAAAACACTATCATTTGAAGCAAGTTCTCGCAATATATTTTCTTTTAGTATGTTGACTGTCCAAAATTACTATTAGCTGAAATCTGGAATTGGCACATTACAAGCAACAAAAGGCAGTTGTCCAGTTGCAGTTATCTTGCTTATTACTTGCAAAGGTCATGCTTTTCCTGTCCGTAAGAACAAGCTATGTGAATGATCACTAATCTTTTGCTCCCAACAGTATTATTTTCATATAATACAATCCAATGCTTTAAGGTAAATGAATGCATGACGTGAAGCTGAGTTTCTGTAGCTGCCGACTTTTAATATTAGGGCACTTGTCATAACCGGGTACCCCCCCCCCCCCCCAAAAAAAAAAGTTTCCAAATGTAGCAGCAGAGTGGGGGAGAAGGTTGACAGGCCGAGCTTCTACTTTTGGGTTGAACTTCGATTTAAAGTGACACTAAATGTTATCCTTATTCTCCAAAAAAATAGTCCATACTCATTCACTAATTAATCCTGCAATCCTATTTTCATTAAACCATTTCCTATTGTGTTTTTTTTTGCCTCCTTGTAACATTCTCTGTGAACTCCCAAACCTCTCCTTTTCCCACCCACTTCCGTGTTGATTAAAATGAGCAATACACATTAGTTGCTATCATGTGCACTGCTGTATGCACACTTCACATCCCATAGTCCATCTTGGAAGTGATCAAGAGAGGGTGGTTATGTTTCTACATACAGTGGATAGAGAATGAATGTAGCCACCCTCTAAGAGGAAGTCAGATCGCAGCAAGCATTTTTTAAATTTGGAGGAGGCTGAAAGTATTAAACAATTCTAAGAATGCATATTTCATTAGGACCTTTTAAAAAAAAAAAAAAAAAAAAAAAAAAAAAAAAAATCTAAACCAGAGGTTAGTGTCACTTTAATAGTTAAAGATGAGCATACTGAAAAGTAAAATATGTGGGGCAATCATTTCCTAAGAAGCCAGCTTGTATACTGCAATAATACATACATTGCAGTATAGTTCATTGTCACTTCCAGCTGTTCACATTTGTTGATATTAGAACCAAAAATAGCCAGCTAAGTATCAACAAACAGCTTGTTCTGCAGGACAGCATCATCAAAGGCTTATTGAATTTTTTAAGGCAGTGCTTAATTTTTCTGTCACTGGACTGGGAAAGCAGAAATAGTGCTGCGCTTCAGTTGTGAAGCTGAAATTGACATGGATGGTGAGCTGATTTATTTTTTTTATTTTTTTTTTTCTTTGTGTTTCATTTATTCTATATTGAATAACGGTCTGTTGAATAGTACCAGTTCTTGTCACTTAGTGACTTTGTGATCAGTTTACACACACCGACAATCTGTGAAGGTTCTCATTTATCCAGGTCATGGATGTCTAGTAGGAGGTGGGCTCATTAAATTGGACCTGTTCTGTAGATTTGAAGATGTTTCATAGCTTATCCAAGCCTCTTGTTTAGTTAAGAGTGTCAGGAATGGGTAGGGGGCGGCTAAAGTGCGCCCCCTACCCGGAAATCCGAAATAAATATATACATACATACACACACACAGGATTTGCGTAGGAAGTCTGCCCTGTAGCAGTATTTCTGCTATAGGGCGGACTTAAAGCGGTTACAACAAGATTAGGTAAACATCACTAAGTTAGCCCAAGTCTGTATGATGCAGTTGGAGAAACTGTATCATACATAGCTAAAGGAAAAGGGTTAGAAATGCAGGATCCCCATTTATTTAAAGTGTTACTAAAGTATGGATTTTTTTTTTCAATTAAAATATCAAACTTGTTACACTCACCTGCTTTCTGCATTGATATTGCACAGACTGGCCCTGATCCTCCTCTTGTCAGCTCCTCCTTGCCTTTGTGTCCCCCTGACCTTTGTGTCTACAGAGCTATGCTCCATAGACATACACAGTTGGACTTGGCCCCACCCCCATTTCCTCTTCATTACATTTGGTTGACGGCATCCACAGCCAATGGCTCTTTCTGCTGTTCGAATCCCTGTGTGAAGAGGAAGTGAGGGGAGAAGAGATGCAACCGTCCACATCGCTGATCTCTTCTCCCCTTCCTTTCCCTTTACACAGGGAAGGGGGAGCACAGACAAATAGAAAAATGTTTTTCAACCTTAATACAAGCAATGCATTAAGGTAAAAAAATGTTTTTAGGTTTAGTATCACTTTAGGTGTGTACTGGGCAGAACACTTACCCATCCTTTCTTGCTTCAGGTGCAGATATGAGCTTTAGGTCTCAAGCAAAAGAGCTCTACAGGTCATCCTCTTCTTTACAGGTACAGATACATAGGGCCAGCAGATACCCTGTACTAAACCAATTATTGTAGCTGGGAAACAAAAGGCAGACTGCACTTACAACACCAGCAAGGGAGAATGTCACCAGCACACTGAGGATCACCAATCTGGGTCCAAAAGTTTTAATGAACGATCACATAGTTGCAGCAAGGCAACGTTTTGGACTCTCACAGGACCTCTTCATCAGCCATGCGAGTAGCCGAAACGTTGGTTTGCTGTAACTATGTGATCATTCATTAAAGCTTTTGGGTCCATATTGGTAATCCTCGGTGTGCTGGTGACATTCTCCCTTGCTGATTCTGTTCAGTTCCAGCCGACAGTCGCTGCAGCACCCACTTATACACACAGACATTTTTAATGCAGGAACGTGTGCGTAGGATTGTACACTTACAACACCAATAAGACTCAATAGGGCTCTGCTTGGACACAGGATCATTAACCCACCAGACATGCAGAAACCTGCCAGTTATGATTAGAAAGGTAAGCAACAGGTTCACTTTACGGGTGATTTTTAGAGATGCGTATACTTTCTTAATTTCACTCCCCCTCTGCTCCATTCACTCACCAGTAAGCTATGAGTCATCAGATTTGTAGTACACACAGGGTTATGGATATCCCTTGTGACAGCATTGATCAGCTCAGTGTGAGGTACATGTTCCTCCATAACCAGAAAATGCCATTTTCTTCAGCTCCTGACTCTGAACAGAGCATCAGGGGAGCAAAAAAAGGGAAGTACAATCCCTTGAAAAAGTGTTCATACCCCTTGAAATATTCCACATTTTGTTATGTTACAACCAAAAATGTAAATGTATTTTATTGGGATTTTATGTGACAGACCAACACAAATTGGCACATACTTGTGAAGTGGAAGGAAAATGATAAATGGTTTTCAAAATGTTTACAAATATCTGAAGTGTGGCGTGCATTTGTATTCAGCCCCCTTTTACTCTGATACCCCTAACTAAAATCTAGTGAAACCAGTTGCCTTCAGAAGTCACCTAATTAGTACACCCATGTGTAATATAATCTCAGTATAAATACAGCTGTTCTGTGAAGCCCTCAGAGGTTTGTTAGAGAACAGTGGTGAACAAACAGCATTATAAAGGCCAAGGAACACACCAGACAGGCCAGGGATAAAGTTGTGGATAAGCTTAAATCAGGGTTAGGTTATAAAAAAAAAAAAAAAAAAAAAAAAATTCCAAGCTTTGAACATCTCATGGAGCACTGTTCATTCTATCATCCAAAAATGGAACGAGTATGGCACAACTGCAAAGCTACCAAGACCTTGCCATCCACCTAAACTGACATGCTGGGCAAGGAGAGCATTAATCACAGAATCAGCCAAGAGGCTTATGGTAACTCTGGAGGAGCTGCAGAGATCCACAGCTCAGGTGGGAAAATTTTGTCCACAGGACAAGTATTAGTTGTGCACTCCACAAATCTGGCCGTTATGAAAGAGTGGCAAGAAGAAAGCCATTGTTGAAAGAAAGCCATAAGAAGTCCTGTTTGCAGTTTGCGAAAAGCCATGTGGAGGACACAGCAAACGTGGAAGAAGGTGCTCTGGTCAGATGAGACCAAAATTTTACTTTTTGGCCTAAAAGCAAAATGCTATGTGTGACAGAAAACTAACACTGCACATCACCCTGAACACACCATCCCCAACGTTAAACATGGTGGTGGCAGTATCATGTTGTGGGGATCCTTTTCTTCAGCAGGGACAGGGAAGCTGGTCAGAGTTGATGGGAAGATGGATGGAGCCAAATACAGGGCAATCTTAGAAGAAAACCTGTTAGAGTCTGCAAAAGACTTGAGACTGGGGCAGAGGTTTACCTTCCAGAAGGACAACAACCCTAAACATACAGCCAGAGCTATGATGGAATGGTTTAGATCAAAGTAAAATACATTTGTGTTTTGGTTGTAACACAAAATGTGAAAAATTTCAAGGGGTATGAACACTTTCAAGGCACTGTATTTGCTGCAGAGAATAGGAGGGTTAAAGAAAACATTTTGTTTTGCAAAATGCAAACGGTATGCAAAATAATACAGTACAATTAGCAAACTACCATGTACGTTGTAGTACACATATAGTATAAAACCCATTATTTTATCTGGTACAACTCGCAGTGTGTATAAAAAAAAAATTAACTGATGTGTACCTCTGGTAGATTTAAGGGGTACTTTTTGCCTGTCAAATATAGCCTTATGCGTTCAAGCCTTTTTTTAACCACTAGCCTACAGGGCACTCATACCCCCTTCCTGCCCAGGCAAATTTCCAGCTTTCTGCGCTGTTGCACTTCGAATGACAATTGCGCGGTCATGCAACACTGTACCCATATGAAATTTTTATCATTTTTTTGTGACAGAGCTTTATTTTGATGGTATTTAATCACCTCCTGGGTTTATTTTTTCTTAAACCAAAAACCACTGAAAACTTTGAAAAAAAACCCTGTTTTTTCTTAGTTTTTGGTATAAAATTTTGTAAATAAGTAATTTTTTTCCTTCACTGATGTGCGCTAATGAGGCTGCACTGATGGGAACTAATAGGTGGCACTGATGAAGAGGCACTGGTAGGTGGCACTGGTGGGCATTGACAGGCATCACTGACGGGCACTGAAAGGCAGCACTCATATATGGCACTGATAGGCGGCACTGATGGGCGGCACTGAAAGGCAGCTCAGATGGGCACTGATATGTGGCATTGATGGGCACTGAAATGTGCCATAAATGAGCACTGAGAGCTGGCACTGATGGACACTGACAGGTGGCGCTGCTGGGGCTACACAGATCATCAGGGCACACTGATCATCAGTGCTCTGATGATCTGTGTACATGTCCCCTCCGAGGAATACCGATTACCGTCTCTCCTCTCCTCACGAGCTGTCAGCGTGACAGCGGCATTTCCCTGTTTACATGTGATCAGCTGTGATTGGACACAGCTGATCATATGACCGAGCCGACATCTTCGGCTCTTTCCGTGGATCAGTGATCCGCTGTGTCCGAGGGACACAGCGTACCGCCGATTGCTGTGCTGCGTGGTTAGAACGAGAGAACCGCCTTGTGTCCGTCATATTACTATATGGCGGGCGGGAGGCGGTTAAAATGGTAACCCGTAACAAACTTGGGGTTATCTTTAAATCATTGAAAATACATATCTCGGTAAACAAACATGCATATTTGGAGATTAATGGGATGTCTGAAATAAAATTTCGCATCAGGAGTACTTGGTAGGTATTTGAAGTAAGAAAGGGATACTTGCACTCCTATAGTACAAGTAGCACTCAATGCTTGGCATACCATGACTCAAACTTTGTTCTAATAAAGGTATTACAAAAGCATGTGGTGTCTCAATTTAATAACCATGAGTTTAAATACAACATTTATGATGCATCCATGTGTAATTATATACTAGGATATAAATAAACGTATCTATTCTAAGCAAACAATTAATACAAACAGCACTCAAATAAAAATCAGCCCTTTAACCACTTGCCTACCGGGCACTTTCACCCCCTTCCTGCCCATGCCAATTTTCAGCTTTCAGTGCTGTCGCACTTTGACAATTGCGTGGTCATGCAACACTTTACCCATATGACATTTTAATAATTTTTTTGAGACATAGAGCTTTCTTTTGCTGGTATTTAATCACCTCTGGGTTTTTTATTTTTTGATAAACAAATCAACAACTGAAAATTTTGAAGAAAAAAAGTTTTTTTCTTAGTTTCTGTTATAAAATTTTTGTAAATGAGTAATTTTTCTCCACTGATGTGCGCTAATGAGGCTGCAGTGATGGGCACTGATAGGCTACACTGATGACACTGGAGACACTGGTAGGTGGCACTGATGGGCATTGACAGGCATCACTGGTGGGCATTCACTACATCACTGATGGGCACGGAAAGGCAGTACTCATATATGGCACTGATAGGCAGCACTGACTGACACTGTTAGGTGGCACTTACTGGAACTGTTAGGTGGCACTGACTGGCACTGATTGGCAGCACTCATAGGCGTCACTGACTGGCACTGATAGTTGGCACTGAAAGGCAGCTCAGATGGGCACTGAGACAGAGTGGGAAGACGTCATATGACGTCCTCCCCAGAACGAGAGAACCGCCTTTGCGCCCATCATTTCCTTATATTGCGGGTGGGAGGTGGTTAACGTACCTGCAAACCTTAGACGTGAAATATGAAAACAAAGCATATCCCCTTTATAGTATGTACTTTCCTCAATCCAGAGCACTAAGCGTCATTTCTAACTGCTGCTTTATTCTTCTGTTAGCATGAATCACTTCTGACAAGCTTTCCTGACACCAGGAGAAAAATGCTGACAGGGGAGGGACCTATAGTAGATTGTGAAATCTCTGTTCCTGTGAGTTGTGTGGAGTAGGGAGGGGGGCTTCCCTCCAATCAGCTCTCAGAGCTCTCCTCACTGAGCTCTGCAGCTTTCTGCACCCTTTTTTTTTTTTTTTCTTAAGCTGCAAAAATTCTGTACTTTGAATGGAAGTAGAGAAGAGAATACTGCAGATTAACAGGTACAATTTATGTAGGAAGATTTGTTTCATCTCTTTGTTTCACCTGAGGCCAGATTATATGGACTTTAACTTTCCCACATCCAGAGGAACATTGATAACAAGCTGCAAATACATTTTGTAGGAAGCCTGCTGATAGAATGTAGCTTGGGTTTTCATGTTTAATTGTATTGTTTGACCCTCTCCTAAAGCATACTGATACAGGTTAAAGCAAATGATATGGCAAAATAGAAAAATAAAATAAACATTTTATCCATGCAATACATGTTCATTTCCATATGTTTTATTCACTAAAATCTGAATTCCAGTCTTACCTTCACTCTTGCATGGTGTACTAACAGCTAGACGTCTCTCTCCAAGAGTCTTTACATTTGGGAATTGTTCGGAATAGGCTCTGTACACTGTGCCATGATCTGAGCCCGGCCAATGATGGCTCACATCAGTCATTCGTGAGTGCATTGGCCGCTTGTGTACCTTTTGTGTAAAGCATAGATTGAACCGTATATTTTTGACTTTTAATACATTTGATAAAAGAATTATTGCTCCTCAGAGGTACCGATCTGTTTTTACCTGGTTGGGTGAACACCTGGGGTAGGAAATGTAAAAAAAAAAAGAAAACTTGTAGAGAGCTATACCTATCTTTTATATACTGGTGTGTGTAGTTTTTTTTTTTTCTTAGGGTGGTAGGTCATATTATCTATTTTATTTATAGTTCTGAAATTCTGTATATTTTGGTATTCCTGTGCTTTGGGTAACAAAGACCCAAAGAGAGACCACTTTTCTCCCCTTATTGCTTGTTGGAAGACACAGACTAGCAAGGTGACAAGGGCGAACAGTTGAATTGCTTAATGTAAACTTTTCCTTGTTGTAAACCTTCAGCTTTTAAATAAAAAGCAGGTGTCCTCTGGTGCCTTCCTTTACCTTTCAATGTTTTCTCACCTAGGGTTCTGAATATGCAAATACTGATTTTGGAAAGCAAAGAGAAATAAAATAGGCCTATAGTTAAGAAACAAAAGTTTGCTAGAAGGTAAGTACTTTTCGTAGAATAGTCCTGTATAAAACTTGTGTGACAAAACTATTTTACCTAAATACAAATTTTGTTGGGTGTACACAAACTTTGACCTGTGGCGCAGAGCTATCTAGTTATGCCATTCCTATCACCTGTAGGACACCAAGATTGGAACCAGGTGCTGAGATAATGTAATTTCAGTGCACATGCACAGGGGTTAAGTCATCAATGGCCAATGCAAGAAGATGCTAAACTAAGAAGAAGAGCAGAAAATGTCAGCGACGACAGTGAGGAGCTTGGTCTTTGCATCACTCAAAGCGAACAGAGGGGGAGGTGAGTGTGTCATAATGTACAAATATATTGTGCATACTTGTACATTATGAGAAATTCTGACGCTGCCCCATTTTCACTAAAGTTCTATTTTCAAGGAAACCTCTAAACCAACCACAGAAGTTGCCATTGCTGGTTTCCTATTCTGTGAATGAATATGGCCTTTCTGTTTAGTATATGAAAGTAGTATACAGTGGGTCAAATAATTATTTGATCCCCCTGAAGATTTTGTAACTTTGCCCACTTACAAAGAATTGAAGGGCCTATAATTTTTATCATAGGTGTATTTTAATTGAGACAGAATATCAACCAAAAATCCAGAAAAAAACACATGATACAAATGCTCTAAACTGAGTTGCAGTTTAGTAGTAAAAAAAGTATTTGATCCTCTACCAACCAACAATAATTCTGGCTCCCACAGACTGGCTATGTGCTCATGTGGTACACAGATTAGTCCTGTCAATTCTGGAAGGTGCTCTTAAGGACAACTCATTATGTGTATAAAAGACACCTGTCCACGGAATCTTTCTTTCATTCAAACCTCACCATCATGGGCAAATTACCATAGAGCTGTCAAAGGAGGTCAGGGACAAGATTGTAGATGTGCACAAGGCTGGAATGGGCTACAAGACCATCAGCAAGAAGCTTAGTGAGAAGGAGACAACTGTTGGAGCGATTATTTGTAAATGGAAGTAATAAAAAATAAGCATCAGCCTTCCTTGGTCTGGAGCTCCATGCAAGATTTTGCCTCATGGGGTAAGGATGATCATGAGAAAAGTGAGGGATCAGCCCATAACTATATGGGAGGAGATTGTGAATGATTTCAAGGCAGTTGGGACCACAGTTACAAAAAAAAAAAAAAACCATTGGCAACACAATACGCCGCCATGGATTGAAATCCTGCAGCGCACGCAAGGTCCCTTTTTTTTTTTTTTTTTTTTTTTTTTTTCTAACAAGGCACGTGTACAGGCCAATCTGAAGATTGCCAAAGAACATCTAAATCAGGGGTGTCAAACTGGCAGCCCTCTAGCTGTTGCAAAACTACAAGTCACATCATTCCTCTGCCTTTGGGAGTCATGCTTGTAACTGTCAATCTTGCAATGCCTCATGGGACTTGTAGTTTGGCAACAGCTGTAGGGCTGTCCGTTTGACACCCGTGATCTAAATGATTCAGAAAAGGATTGAGAGAAAGTGTTGAGGTCAGATGAGACCAAAATTGAGCTCTTTGGCATTAACTTGACTCGCCATGTTTGGAGGAAGAAAAATGTTGACTATGACTATATGGCGACTATGACCCTAAGAACACCATCATTACAGTCAAGCATGGAGGTGGAAACATTATGCTTTGGGGCTGTTTCTCTGCTAAATGTACGAGCTGACTTTGTCACATTGAGGGCCCAATGGATGGGGCTGTGTATTGTAAAATCGTGGATGAGAACTTTCTTTGCTCAGCCAGAACACTGAAGATAGGTCGCGGATGGGTCTTCCAGCATGACAGTGACCCAAAACATAAGACTATGGCAACAAAGGAGTGGCTCAAGAAGCACATTAAGGTAATGGAGTGGCCTAGCCAGTCTCCAGACCTTAATCCTATAGAAAATTTATGGAGGGAGCTGAAAGTTTGAGTTGCCAAGCAACAGCCAAGAAATCTTAAGGATTTAGAGAAGATCTTTAAAGAGTGGACCAAAATCCCTCCTGAGATGTGTGCAGACCAGGTAACCAACTGCAAGAAACGTCTCACCTTTGTGCTTGCCAACAAGGATTTCTCCACCAAATACTAAGTCAGTTTTTGCTTCGGGATCAAGTACTTATTTTACTCACTGATCTGCAACTCAGGTTATAACATTTGTATCATATGTTTTTCCTGGATTTTTGGATGATATTCTGTCTATCATTTAAAAAACACCTATGATAGACCATTCATTCTTTGTAAATTGACAAATTTATAAAATCTGCAGGGGATCAAATAACTTTTTTCCCCACTGTAGCAAAATGTTCATATAGTTCAAAAAAGTATGTTGATAAAGGCTTTTTATATTCTCTGACTTTACTGATATGAATGTCTCTTTTCTTTGGATTAGTAATTAAGAAAGCATTGA